TTATATTCGCGCTCTCCTGACACTCTGTATAGCGTCCGGCAAATTGTTTGGCAAGGTGAACGCGACAAATTATAGCTTGGGCACTGTTCATTTTTTCCTTGTGTTTATGCGAAGCATTTTGTAACGAAAACATACAGAGATCACCACGTTTTTTTTTTGTCAGCATTACGTTCAGGGTAAAAACAATATTTTACAAGCTTAAATTTGGAAAAAAAAGTTTAGTAACCTAGATGAGCACATACCCGGTTATCAAATATATTTATTTATTTACTTATTTATTTATTTTATTTAGCAACACTGTCAACCCTCATAGAGAGTCGAAACAGAGAGGACATGCATAAAGATTGTACAATGTTCATAAACTTTCTTAATACCTTGACAATTCACAGTGAAAACTGGTATTCTCATAACTAACAACTCAACATTCAAATAACAATTCAAAATTCAGTCATTTTTCAAAATATTTGCTATGAACATGAAGTCGCTTACATCACTTGGCACTGAAGAAATTAATTTAGCAATCACGTAATTAAATGCGCTTCTACAGTATTTTCGAAGTCAGTCACATCTTATAAACAACAATTTCGTTCTGCAATTTGTTCCACATTTCTACGAGATCTAAAAAAATATCTAGAGGTGTCAGTATTTGTACGGTATGGTTTTATAACGCAATCGTGGTTAGTTCGGGGATTTCTTTTGTTCTAGAGAATGTAAATATTTGAGCTTATCCATCCTCAGTTGATCATGCATTAATTGGAACAATACTTTCAGCCTATATTTATTTCTACGTAGTTCAAGAGAATCTAGGTTGCATCTCCGTAACATCAGTGTGACAAATTCCTTCCTTCGATACGCTGAACAAATAATGCGCGCCGTCAGTCTCTGTATTCTTTCTACCTTCTTTTTAAGAGTAACTTGATGGAGACTCCAAACAACGGATGAATATTCTAGTACTGTCCTAATGAAGGTGGTGTATGCAATATGTTTTACGTCGCGAGATACATCCTGCAGCTTCTTCCTCAAAAAATATAATTTTTGATAGGTTTTCGTGCAAACGTTATCTATATGCTCATTCCATGTAAAATTTTGCGTAATTGTTACCCCAAGGTACTTGAACTGGGTCGTATTTACCAACAAGTGTTCACCAATGCTGTACACAAAGGAATGAATTGTTTTTTTTTTGTTGATGTGTGTAAATGTAGATTTAGAATAGTTTATTGCCATTTTACATTTCCTACACATGCAGTCATCTAAGTTTTGCAAAGAGTTCTGAATTTTGATTTGCTCGTCTAGTTTGGTAACTGCGGCATAGGTTAAGCAGTCATCCGCAAAAAGTTTAACATGAACACCCCCTTCTGCCAGCACTACTGATATCATTGATGTACAGGAAAAACAATAGTGGCTCAACAACACAGAGCCTTGGGGCACTCCCGAAAGTACCAGCCAAGGGTTGTGATAAGTGACCATCCAGTTTCACTACCTGCGTACGATCTGTTGAATAAGCTTCAATTCCATTTTATTACGAGTTCATTGATTCCTGCTTGACGTAATTTGACGATTAATTGGACATGAGATACTTTATCAAACGCTTTCGCGAAATCCACCCATATCACATCTACCTGTTGCCTTATATCTATAGCACTCGCAAAATCATGCATTGTTTATATTAACTGGGTCACGGTTGATAATCCCTGTCCTGAAGCCATGTTGGTAAAGGTACAGCAAAGCGTTCTGGTCCATAAATGCAAGTATGTGTTTTTGAACTATGTGTTCAAACACTTTGCAAGCAATCGGAAGTGAGTGATACTGGGACGGTAATTTGTTGCCTAGTTTGCGATTGCCGCCTGTTAAATACAGGAATGACGAATGCAGTGCGCCAGTATCGTGGCAGTGAGTGCGTTGTATAAGATTTCTTGTATAAGAAATAATATAATTAAGGCCAAACTGCGTGGAATAAACGTTAATATTTCGAGGAGCAAAAGTTTTTGCCGCTCAAGATACATTGAGAAAATGCTGTAGAGCTAGCATGTATCACGTGTAATTTTCTCCGAGCTTTTTTTTATAGAAATTGGTTTTTGGCAAGCGCCACGCCACTGCCTGAGACTGTTGTCAGTGCGATGACCCTATTGCGACATTAATTACAACATTAGGATTTGCGTGAAGGCTACCGTAATCACAAGCTCAATAACTGGCGCTATTAAAGGCACTACATCAAATTTCAAAATCGAGATGTGCCCATCATTCGATGGCTTGGTACGCATAAGTCTTCTTGGCCGAATTTGAATGAGATCTGTCACGTGGAAATTATTTTAATTCGACGTCAAACAGCGTAGAAAAGCTAAGGAGAAAACCCGAAAATAGACTGCCCTGCGACATCGACACTAGTGCTGCGTGTTTGGCGTGATCACGGAGGCAAGAAGGAAAGATAGGAGAGGGCATGCGCAGCCGGCGTGCTACGTGAAAAGTGTGGAGGAAATCACATCATGGCAGCCATATTCACTGGGCACAATGGCGGCGTTGCTATGGTTACGTGTTGTGCAGTGTAGCTTGTCTAGCAGTGAGCGGCCGCGGCTGGCGGCGGCATGCATGCCTCCGAAGATCTCGTGCTGGGCCATGACGGACAATATCCGTTCTCTGCGCTGCGTGATTAGTTACGCAGTGTTCTTCTGGCAGTTACTGTATTCCTAGCAACGTTTGCAAAACCCTTTGTCGACCACGGGGCCTGAACAGTGCGTAGTACGAGTGCATATCTATGTGTCGTGCGGCGGATGACGCAGATGAAGCATTTGAAGTGTTCGGCGAAGTTACGTTGGGCACCATGACGAAACGGAACGACGACGAACGCCTTGCAGCTGAGTGATGGTTGGGCAGTGCTCCTGTTTGTGGCAACGGACGAAACTGTTCTGCCCAGCAAGACGCAATGAGGACTATGTGCGCACACCTAGTTTGGTGTTCAGTATGTGTACAGTATCAACTTGCATGTGCATATTGAAACATTTGCTTGTTATACTCGCACCCAGCATTGTCATGTCAGCGTTAAAACAACCTCATTCAAGTGTAACTTGCACCGTGCTCAAGGTCATCGCGCTGGCAGAATTCTGACGCCGGTGAGTTTCACGCGGAACACGGACACAGTAGCCTTGCGCCGCGTCAGCCGCGTGGCGGAATGCAGCCGTAGAAGGCGCACGACCGATCGTGTTGTCTGTACAGTTGCTGAATTAATGACGTGAAAGCACTCGCCATTGTCAGTGCATCTAGCGCGCGTTCTCTTGTACTTGCTTCGTTGTCGGCGAGCTGTTACTCGCTGTTATTACTCGGACGAAATGATTTCGCAAAGGTGTCGCGCTGGCCCAGAGAGTTGAGCCCCGTTACATTGGTTTCGGATCGTCACGACACGCGCGCTGCGCAGTCTACGTGCTTTCCGGGCCGGAGAGAGAGTCGTGCTTTCTGCGTTACGTTCGGATGTAAACAAGAGAGGAGAATTCGCCCAGTCAATATGGCCGACTTCTGGCTTCACCACGGCTTCACAACGAGTGACGTCAGGGCCTCTCCTAAGTTTTTCTTTCCTCCATGGGCGTGGTACATTCCACAAATACCATCCTGAGTGACGATACACTTGTAACAACGACGACAACGATCTGAGTGTGCTTGGAGCCGACTCCCGGCCAAGCCCTCACTACTAATGGCTCTCGTTGCTGTGTTGAAGCGTGCGTGCGATTCATCGTGTCGCATCGACTGATTTGACATGTGCTCCACGGCGTGAGTACGATCATTCAGAGAGACAATACGTGCCAGAATGTCGGGGAATCGCTGCGCAGTGAGAACCTACTCGTCGAGGCGCGAAAAAAGTGGAAAGTGCGCGGCGTTTCATTCCTCTCGAAGCCACGAACCTACATGCAGCCAGTGGGTTGACTTCGTACGCGCCTATGGACAGAGTGACTGAACGCCTAAGAAGAATAGCCTCATTTGCTCGCTTCACTTTGCGCCGAGCTGCTACAGAGTAAATCCTGCGTTGGCGAACGAGTTAGGTTTCACAGGCAGCACGAGGCCCCTTCTCGAGGCGGGGGCTAAAGGGAGAGGGGAAGAACGAGTTGGCGCTACTTGACCCAGCCGGCGGAAAACGCATGGAGCGGCTTTAGCCTACATCTTCAGAGACACAGATGGACTGACCACACGTGTGCTCCACGAGAGGAAATGCCAGTGTGCATGACGTCACCATTTTTTTTTGTGTGTGTGAAGGCAGCATCAGCTGTGCAGCTGCCTCGACGTGGCTGCGAGGTAGCGCTGACAGCACTACAATTTGCCGGGCCTTCGATCCATTTTGAATTATGTTCAATAGCAGATATAATAATTACTATTAGAGATATTCATTCGTACTTCAGATGCGTTTTAGGTCGCGAATCGCTACTGGGGGGTCGATAGCTACTCGCTGGCGCATGAGTAAAGTTGATGTCACTGCTCCTTTAAATTTTGTCTATATGGCGTATAATGCTGACTAACTGTTGGCTAGTGTTGTGCATCCGTTGACGTCATGAAATATTTTCACGTGACATGCAAGTCGAAATAATATGAACGCTGTTATAGGTGTTAGCATCCAGACGCACGGTGCTTCCTGCGATAGGTTTAAAACGTGGCTATAGCGATGTTCAAAATCAGTTCAAAAAAAAAACAAGTTCAAGAACACTATAAACTGCAAGAAAAATGGAGAATTAATCACAATAATTTCCCCAAAATTGATGAAAACGCTTCTGTGACATCTGCTGATACCCGTGCCACGTGATAGAGGGCGCCTTAACCTCTACAAGCGCTCGTTTGCCGAGGTGGTGGCAAGCAACTTTTCTAGGACTCTGTTTGGAAACATTGGTTTCAAGCAAATCGCTGGGTTACCCTTGTTACGCACTTCGTCAGGTTTCAGCACTAGGGCAGCTGCATTATAGGCGCACGATTAAGAACTGCGCCAAGACCTAGGCAAGAACGTTGTCGTGGAATTTTCTTCGTACCTGTATGTACTCGCCCAGTTTGCGTGCGTATTCGAGCCGAGAATTGCTGGCGTAGCAATTGGAAACGAACCAGGCGACCATCTTGGTTTTGTTCTGGCCGTAGTCGTGGTCGCGCTTGATCGTCTTCACCAGCGGGTCGAAAAGCACGAACTTTTCGTACGGAGTCACAATATCCGAGTCCTTCCTGCGTATTTGAGAAGATGCGTTGGGCAGCGCTGTACGTCACTACATGCGCAGTGCTCGGCTGTCAGTATCTTTTCGCTTGTGCGTATGTAACTAGAATGCTTACCTAATGGCCCCCCTCGCTAACAGCTCAGTTCGCCGCAATCGTTTTCCCAGTCGGTTAAGGGGGGAAACAGCTCATATATTTTTAAAGTTTTTTCATCTATCTTGATGAAACTTGCTAAGTTTGTGCATACTTGTGCGGTTAGTTGAATATGCAATAATCATCTAATATAATGTGCAGTTTTTTTAAACGCGATGGGGAGCAACATTTTTCATACCTTGAAAGAGTTACGAAATGAATGTGTTTAGAAAAAATGTTTAACGATTTTGAGTACTGCACATGATAGTAATCTGGAATCCGAACCATGCACAGTACAAAGAAACAAAAAAAAAGATGTTCTAAACTAAAAATAGCCTGAACAAAGGTACGGGCTATGTTTCTCGATTAGCATTATATTTATAATATCGTAATAGAGTAATTTAGCTCATTCGAGACACATATTTTTTTTTGCGTTTCGGGGCAAAGCTTCTTAATCTGTGGGTCGTGCATTCTCGATGTATGCAGTAAGTAGCCACCTTTCGTTTAATTCTAGGATTGTCCGATAGATGGTGGTACTTGTATATGATGAATATATATGATGAAACGATGCGATATGGCGGCACTCGGAGTGTTCATTAGACAGACAGACAGACAGACAGACAGACAGACAGACAGACAGACAGACAGACAGACAGACAGACAGACAGACAGACAGACAGACAGACAGACAGACAGACAGACAGACAGACAGACAGACAGACAGACAGACAGACAGACGGGCGGGCGGGCGGGCATTTATTTTGTGGATATGCTGCGATTTACTAGTGTTTCTTGAGCAGGAGGTCATCAAGCGTCACAACAAAGAAAGTATACACGAAAAGAAGCACCTAAGAGAAATTGTATCGCAGATTTGAACCAGCGTGTGGAGTGGGCGTCCGCACGTCTTTGACTTCTATAGCCCACGTGACTGCTGCAACTCTTTCATGTGGGCATTCAGATGATTCTTACGTGAGTACCTGTATGTAGCGGTCAGGTTGATGCCGCTTGAGTGTTCCCCGATGAACGAGTGCAAGGGATTCTCGAGCAGGTACAAGATCCACAGCTGGTTGCCCCTCCTCTTCTTGGGGCCGGAGCCGTAGCTGTCCTTAAATATGATGGCGTCCGCTGACAAGGCATCGTTCGAGGAAGCAGTGCCCTTGTAGACGCGACACTTGTCCACCGGACACCGGTCACGGAGGAAGAGCGCCTGGCCATGCAAGAAGTCGTACCAGCTGCCGTCCAGAAGAATGGTCTTCATGGACGAGTCTGCATTGAGGTAAAGTGTGACGTGCACCACACACTATGCTATACGACGCTACATGTGGACAAGTTTACGTAAGACGCGTCGGCACCTCCACGTTGGGTTGGTAAACGAACGTTTTATTATCTTTGTCTCAAGTGAAGTGAATCGATAAGGTCAAGAACGTTGAATGAACCAGCTCAACCGTTTCGTAGAGTACGTTCACCACAGCACTGTTTAGTTTGGTATACAAAAGCAAGACCCTGAAAAGTCTGTGGAAGTAGACTACACAGAATTCAGTGTTAATGTGGTGCAGTGCTTGGTGTAGTTCTAAATCCTGTGCCAAAAGCAGCTTCACAACTCTGAAAACTGAGAAAGTGCGTAGCATAGCCACCTAGAGATCCTCGTTCGCAGAGTTTCCTAGGCTCCGTTTACACAATCCTCGATAACGTCAATGTTTGAAGTAAGCGCGTGGGGTTTCCCCGGCATAAATGGAATCTTGTTAGAGAGATTTCGCAAGCTCAGTTGTGAACATGCGTGCCACTTTTTGTAGCATTTTATCGACTTCCTCCTCGTAACGGTAGTTGAGATACGGGTCCTCCGCAAAGGGTTTCATCAAATTGTCACCCCCTTCAGATGAAACGACGACGGTGCCGTAGAAGCGCGGGTGGGAGGAGCAATAGCGCTCTTGGCTGAGGCGGTGGTGCCCTCTCTTGTGCGGGGCAGGGGATGAGCTAGGCGTTTCCAAGTATTTGAACCATTTTATCTTATCATTGTGATTACTTCTTGGCTATTTCTGTTCGCTATATTATTTTAGACGTGGCTCATTTATGGTTTGAGCTATTTATAGTCATGCCTCGAACATGACCCGCCATAAGTTCACGGCGGAGGCTTCGACTTCGGCCTTCGTACTTCCGCATGCAGGCGAATATGGCATCGTGTTCTTTTTTCCCTCTTGAGAAAAGGTGTAGTGACCTATTTATATTAGCGTGCCCACGCTACCTGACATTTATGAGCTGAACGACCAGCCGCGTCCCTAGTGTGCTAAGGACTTAAACATGCGTAGCCAAAACAATGCACATAAAAATGGACAAGAAATGTCCGATTGAATAACAATGTGGCGCTGAATTCGGCTCCCCCTTTAGATGATTTAGGGAGGGCTGCCCCCTCTGGCCCCAGGCACAAGCCTATGCCGTGCCGCACCCTTTCTCCACCATACACTGCTCCGTACATTGCTGCCACGGATCCCCGATAGTGTGCACTAAGATGACCACCATGGTATGCAGAAACAAACCAGTTTAATATACCCACGTACGCTTAGCGGAAAACATTAAAGGCCTGTGTCTTTCAGTGCCGTTTAGCGCTGCCCGAAGAGCACTTTACATTTTTTCAATGACCCGGAGCCAAGGTTGACGTTCATTTTGCACATTCTATAGATGCGAAGCTTCGTCGAGCTCAATACGGTGTGCGGCGTGACCACCTTTACCGCGCATGCGCGTCCACTCTCTTTCCTCTAGGCCTCCCTCCCCGCGGTATTTACATCCCCATTGCGCATGACAAGTCCTGCAGCGCTTCCGAGGGTCAATATGCCGGCACTGCCCCGACACACCATGCCCCAACATAAACACATACACAACTCAAACACATGTATGGTTTAAGTGATGCTGTCTCATCGGGCGAATCATGCTTCCAGCATGCGGGGTTTGATGGGTCCGTCATCTCGCCGCTCGGGCCGACCACCCATGCTGTCGAACGGCGGTCGCAGGCCAGACGCCTCCAATGGCAGGGGCCTAGGCATCTGGCACTGATTTCAGCATCGGTGGCCTAACAGTCATACACGCACAGCGTGGTAGTCCGACGTCTGCCTTTGGTGGACACTCGGCGTTGTGGCCTTTCCTGGGGCACAAAGGTGCCACGTGTCGCAATTCCAAGCCGGCCTCTGCGACAGCAGTGATCCGTTGAGCAATCGCAACCACGCCCAGCGTTTTCGCGCTTTTCCTTACGGCCACTAAGTGAGGCAGCTGCCTTTCTTCGGTCCCGGCGCCCGCGGCAAAGGGTGGCTCGCCTATTGCAACAGGCCTTAGCGGCATCTTCGGCTATCACTTGTAGCTGGCCCAGAATGTTTGAGCTAAACAGCGTGGTCTCCCACTGCTGTGCAGTTCACTTATTTGGTATTTAGCATATTCATGGGGTTCGGAGAAGCCCAGATAATGTGTTGGAGGTTCGCCCGCTGATTGCAGAGTTTACATTTGTTTTGAGTAGAGTTCTGGATAGCAATGACTACAACCAATAGGTTTTGGAAAGGCGCTTGTTTGTTATGGTGTCCTTGCTGTCATCTGCTATTTATTGAGGAATGTGGTGAAGAGTAATGCTGTCTCCCTAATATGTAGTGGGAACGAAAACTTTTTAATTAAAAGAAATACGTGTAGTAACCGTCACTTGAATATCATTATAAAGACACTCTAGGGGTGACTACAATCCTTCAGTTAACTGTGCCGTAGAAGCACTCACTCGTCGGTGTTCGAATGTACAGGTAAATTTCTTAGATAAACGTTGTGTTTGCGCGTTGAATAAGTGGATCTCGGAGGCCATTTTCAAATAAGGAAGCCGTTGAGACCTGCTCCGCTAGGTGTCGCAACAATCTCAAATGCTCATAATCTTCCAATGAACTCAATCGATTCATTGTCAATAAATATCCTGTTGATTATTTGTCTATTACCTTAATTGAAGTTTTGGTTCAATTATAAAATATAACTTTACTTGTACCAGTACCAAAGATTCGAATTTTTAGAAGACTTTTACGAATATTTGGAATCGAAGAAACCGGGATTGAGCGCTCGACAAGACATGATTCTAAGAAGAAAAAGGATGTTTATATCGGTATTCGTGCCACCAAAAAGAAAGGCGCGGGGGGGGGGGGGGATTGTGAGTGACGATAAAACTATTTCTGCGGAACTAACGACATGTGAAACATTCGAAGCGTGTATCCACTCGTAACTAATAAAGGTGCGATAAATTGGAGTGCTTACCGTTGCGAGAATGGCCTAGCTCATGAGCGTCCGGCTTGTAAGTTGTGTCTGGAAAATGTGCTCCATTATCAGTAAAAGAGTCGATAATCATTCAAACAACCATGCATCAGCTGCTCAGTCATACATTGAGCATGTGATTTTCCGTTCAGTGCGTGGTACATATGTCAATTCGAAATCGTCGTGCCGCGACCTGTATGGCCTCATTACCGGCATTATTGTAATGCTTCCCAACTGTATACAAGCAGTTGCCATTCTGAACATTATCAACTCCGCCATGTTGTCGAGTTCTGCCATTAGTCAAGTCTGACCAAACTGGAGAGCCCGCAGTGAATAATAAGTAACACATATTCTAATAATTTATGACAGAAATCCTCTCGACGTATCATATTTAACCAGAAAAATGACGCATCAAGTCTTTACCGATAAAAAACACTTATTTTAAAATATGCAACCAAGTTATGTAAGCGTGATTCTACTATTATAAAAACGGAGAACTACAATTTAACAGACCATAAGCAAGTGATGCACGTGTTGTATTGGACAATTACAACAAACTAAGTAAATTAGAGCAAACTGACATGACAGGTAGATGAAAGTTAACCATATGGTCAAAATTCATCCGGAGTCCCTTATTATCGCATGTTTTACTAACAATATTGTTATTTTGGCACATAAAACCCCAGAAACTATTATTACCATCTAACTAACTGATATACTAGCACAGCAAAATATTCAATTGCACTGTGGCTATGTTATTGGGTTTGGTAGCTTGTTTCGGCCGCGGTAGATAATGCTTTCTTATCGCACTTTTTTAATAAATTGATATAAGATATAATTCTTTATAAGTACGGTAGTTGAAAGTGTTGTGCTACGTCACCGAGCACGCGTAATCAGGTAGTATTTTATAGCGCTTTAAACTCGCATTTTTTATAATTCCCCCTGGAACACAAGGGCTCACTTGTGCCAGACATACATTCAAAGTAGGGGACTATATATACTGCACTAGTCGTTTACTTAGTACAGTAGTGTAGTGTCACGGCCGCTTGATAAAAAAAAAAAACATTTTTACAATCCAGCGGCCGTGGTAGGGAACTTGTTACGGTTATGTACTCGTCGCGATCACGGCATGCCACGCAAAATTACTTAAAGTTGTGTAGTAATGACACATTATTTAACCAGTATTAAAAATGGCGGAAAAACGGGGCAACATGAGCACGGTAGTACCGCTTACTACTCTTGTTTTTTAAAACCTCTAAAATTACTACTTAACGTTAGCAAAGGCTCGGGTAGTAACAGTAACAGTAAAGTTGTTAACGACAAAGGCAGTAACCGTTACCGCCCTCGCCGTTACTAACTGCACATTCTACCAAGGTTGTAACATATGTGACAAGCCATAGTAACCCTTAAACTAGCAAGTACTACTACTTTTTAAAAGTATATGCCAAATTTTTTTGTTTTTCATTTTTTTCAAACGTTTGAGAAAAAACGGGAAAACAATTGTTTTTTTCGGCTGCCCTAAATTTCCGGAAATTTCGCATCTCTAGTTGCGGCCATATGTGACCGAATTAACGAGAGCCTGGTGCCATCAAACAACGCACATGGGGTTAGGACTATAGAGAACATGTCCTAACTATGCCATTTTCTGAATCAGCGAGGATCAAATGAACACAGTAAGTTTCTCGTTAAAATAGGCAGCGCGATGGCGCGCGCACAGGAGGGGTGGGGGGGAAGGGAGGCCTCACTGTCGTAATACTTGAAGTTTTATAATTGTTGAGGTTCTACTTGAACAGGATGCGATTATGAGAGAGGACGCAGTACGAGGGCTCCGAAAGTTTTGACCCTCTGGTGTTCTTTCACACGCATCCCAATCTAAGTATCCACGCCTCAAGCATTTCGCCTCCGTCTAAATGCGGCTGCGACGGCTGGGATTCGAACCCACGACATTCGGCTCAGCAGTTCTGCATCGTAACTAGAACATCGTGGCGACTAAATGCCACGTCTTTGCACTGCGTTCCGATTGTAACGGGCTCAGTGTCAGATCGCCCCCTACCGTTACCTCGGAATAAGTCTATTTTAAAAAGCATATGCCGTAATCAGACCACGAAGCGTTCTATAGACAAAAAAAAAAAGCCACGCGTCACCACGAAATGAATGATGACGAGTGGGTGGAGCTATAGGTCTTAAGGTCCGTTATGTCTACGGAGAAGCCATTGACTAGTCTAAAGGATGGTCAGGTGAACGGACGTATGCACGGACGGGCGATGAGATGGACGGCGCAGGTAGTTTTTTTTTTCACAGCTGCGTAGCAGGTGTTGTGGTACGAGTGTGGGCACCGATACATCACCGGACATGGCTAGCCCCTAAGAAGCTTCGCCCCTAAAAGAACGAATGCGGTAAGCCTATGACTCACTGATGCTCTTGGGCTGTCCCTTGTATCCCGGTGGCAGGTACATGAGTTGGGACACGATGCGATCATCGTGTGGTGACTGCGGGTCCGGCCACACATTGCCGAGCCTCGACAGCTTGCTCGTCGGTCGGGGCCACTCGGTGCCGTTGGTGAAGAACCAGGGCAGCTTGTGGCTCGACTGCGAAGAGGGCGGGTCGTCGTGTCGATGGTCGGCTTCCTCTCTGTTCCTGCATAGTCACGCGGCGAATGGTGTGACATATACCACCTGGAGATAGTATGTCTTAGCGATCCTACAAAGGCAAGTTCATTTGCATTCTAACAAAAGCGTTCGCTGTTTGGACGAATTTGGCATTAGCACGTAGCACAAACGAAATTGGGAATAAGTTAAGATTGAATTTTCTATTTAAACGACTGGACGACGCAGTGAGCGATGGAAAGGGAAATGATCGGTGTAACCTTAAAAGGGTCATGAAGAGGCCACTCCACCGGCAGCCGCACGCACTAACTAGGTGATGTTTTATGTGTCGTGCACCTAAGAAGAGTGCACCCTGCATAGACCATTATTAGGGCGAAATATCCATGCTCGATGATATTATCGAGGCTTTGCTTCGCTAAGCGTCCATGCAAGTCTACTCTTCTTAAGCTGACGTCACTTAGTTAAGTTGGCTTGCCTGGCGCTCCGCATGGTAATTTTAGGAGCGACATTTCACAACCCCTTTAGGGTACAAAGAAGCATAGTGGGTCAGGCAACAAACGTTCGTTGAGGACTCCATAGTCGAAATCAAGAACAAATGGGCGTGGTCAGTGCGTGTAGACGAGAGGGCAACATAGCATATATATAGTCATGAAGTCTGACAGACAGCATTCCAAGAGGAGGCAAGGATACAATGTACGTACATGTATGCAGCTCCTCCATCACCTTTCCACCGTCCAGTTTGTCAGAGGTGCGTGGACAAGGGTATTAGCGTACAGGCCAAGGTCAATTCACTTACATTCGCTGAAGCTTTGGATGAAAAGCGGTCCCAAATGAATCGCCGTGGTGGTCTAGTGGCTAAGCTACTCGGCTGCTGACTCGCAGGTCGCAGGATCGAGTCCCGGCAGCTGGCGGCTGCATTTGCGATGGAGGCGAAAAATGCTAGTGCAGGTCAGTGTGCTCAGATTTGGAATGCACGTTAAAGAACCCCAGGTGGATCGAAATTTCCTGAGTCCTCCATTACGACGTCTCTTATAATCATGGTGGTTCAGGGACGTTAAACCCCATATCAATCAATCAATCAATCAATCAATCAATACCAAACGATTTGTGAGTGACATCGTCGAGGATCGTCATGTGAGGTGCGATTATATCACGAATAAAATAGGAGGGGTCTAATCGTATCTGTAAAAGCAGAGGGTTAGAAGTTTGAAGTTTATTTTATTTATTTCTGATACAGAAAGAGGAGTAAGAGCTAAAGGCAGTATTGCCTGACAGAGGCTCCTACATACAGAGGTGTTTCATATAGTTTGCTATATGACACGCAATGTAAGAAGAAACAATGAAAACATTTTCAGTGTTTTTAACTGAATTCCTTCATAAGAACCTTTCGGAGGGGGCGGAGTGAAAAGGAGTGAGGCAACCATGCCGCTGCATTAAAAAGGTGCTGTTGGGCTGCTTTCAATGCTGTGATAGGCTCACAACCAAAATTTTGGTATCCTGCACGTGTTACCTGAATTTCGGGTCCTGAATACGCTCTCCCAGTGCACTGTCTCATAGCTGTGTTACCATCATACGAGGACGCATCTCTTAGAGGTGAAGCGAGTTCGAAACACCATAAAAGCGTCTGCACTGATGTTCATCTTGCGACCGAGGTGACCGAAGGGGCGACACCTCTGGATTTCGAAACATTGCAGGAGCACTTCCCAGCTTCGCAGGTAAGGACACAGTGTTCTCTGCAACGTGTGTAACAATTTTTCTAACTGTTGATTGATTGATTGATTGATTGACCTATTCGTTCATTATTTGATTGACTGACTGATTGAGTGATTGAATTATTGATTGGTCGATTGAGTGGCTGATCTTTTTGACTGACTGGCTGGTTGTTTGACCAACTACCTGTCTGATTGATTGATTGATTGATTGATTGCCTTACCATTCTTCACTAAGTAGTTTTCGGACTATGTGGCAGCCAAATTGCACAACGCCAGACGATTTATGTTCGCGCCAAGCCACGTGAGACATACTTTTGTTCTTCCTACAAGCCGGGGCAGCTTCACTTCAGGGCACGCATTCGATTCCCTACTACGGAGGCCGCATTTTAATGGAGTGGCACCGGGACCGCGCAACGGGTTGGGAGTCCTTCAGGCAGGGTAAGCTTCACCACAGGACGTCGCGTCAGCGCCCCGAAGCCCGCCTGTCTCGATTTATAAATCGGTGGGTGGCCGGCCAGCACTGCTGATCGAACCCGGTACTTCCCGTAGCTGAAGTGGACGCGTACACATCTTTATGGGGGCGAAATGTGAAGTACAGCCGTGTGCTTAAATTTAGGTGCATGTTCGAAAACAGCAGGTGGACGAAATTAGTTTGGAGTCGCCAAGCCCGTGCCTCTTAATCCTACTGTGGTTCTGGCACGAAAAGCGTCGGCAATTACTTTCAAGGCGAAAAACCTTAGATACGTCAGGAAACTCGAAGAGTGACCGGCGGGGACAGCAAATATACGCGATGATGCAAAGCACTAGGAAGCAGGAGGATGAAGTCCAGAACACGCATGGCGCACGTACGCTGAGCTGAAGACGACGATGTCAAGCAGGTTTTCAAAAACTGCTAGAGTGGAAGCTCTTGCAAAGCCTTGTCTGAAAGTGAAGGCATTGCAGAAACTTCTCATATTAAACTCGTAGGGTGTGTGAGCAAAACACTTCCATTTGCAGAACACTATCGTGCTATCATGCCTCTATACTCAGACGGTGGCCGCGGCCACCATTAGTACGTGGTCCCCATATACGGTTCCCGAATAGGCATATTTTGGCGAGCACAGCCTCGCTCTTGAAGCATAGTTTTCGCCCCAGCCCTTTTTTATTTTTGAACTGGTTGGGCTATACACGCAAGGGAAGCTTTTGGAATAAACTCTGTGAGCCTTGTTTTATAGGCACCGACCTGAATATCTGTCGCTCCATGATGCGGTGTGCCCGCTCCGTCCTGCTCTCGCGTCCACCCTGGCCAAGGCTAGCGGTCATCCAGGGAGGCACCGCGGTCTTCTGGACGGCCAGGTGCAGCTGGAAGGCGACCAGCATGGCGCCACTGACCAGCACCGCGACCACGACCCAGCGCCGAAGGCTGCACACGTGACAAACCAGCATCCCACGGCGGAACAGAGATGCCATGGATCCAGTGGCAGGAGCGCGATGGTTCCACAAGCTGTTCACGACACCGCCGTGTATAGGACGTGTAGCAGTGTTTTGTTATTAGACTTTTTTTTTTCAAAAGCACGTGCTTGTTGTGCTAGGCACAATATACACATAGACGATATATTTTACAGTGTTGACAAACAATCACTTTTGATCGAGATGGGCTTGACCAATATCAAATCTTCTGATTATGCTTGGCCTATATCGCGGGAACTTCAGAAAGGAATTCCAATGTACGTTGAGTGATTCGATCACAATCAGGCTTAATCGCGATCAGCAGTGCACCACGCGACACTGATTTTAGATGCTGTTTCTGTATCTCCTATGGGAATCACTTTACATATGACAAAACGTGTAATCGGTGCTTGTGATTAAGATACAAAAATACATATGCATATATACCCTGCTAACCAGTCACTTCCGGTCGCCTGACCAATCGCGTGACATCACAGGACCAGAACAAAACTCTCTTCGCGTTGGTTGGTAAGGGACCGCGGTTTCAGTCTTCGGTACGGAAAATCATCGCATTGGCGCAAGCCAATCAGTACGTGGTACTTGAGTCAACCAGCCCATAGGTTCGAAAGAGCTTCAGTCGCTGTGAAACGATACCAGCGTGGCCGTGACATGTCCTGCTCAACAGCAATGCTTGCAACGCTGCTGGTGCACAGCCGCGCGATGACGTGTCTTGGGCGAGTGGGAAGGTCAAATGCGTCACGTTTGTACTTGAACAGTATATATGTTCCAGTGTGGTCGTGAATGAGCATATCATCGCGCGAGACAAGAGCTTGCTATCTTGCCGGGCGGTGAGATGGAGAGCTGAGCTGTTCGGTGGGAACGGGGCTAAGAGATTAGATTCTGATATCAACGAAGAAAAGAGTAAAATCTTAAAGGCTCGTCTTTGTTCGCTAGACACAATATTAATGAGACTGGTACTTCGAAGGTTACAGGTGCAGTCTCTGCCGGCGGCAAGTTGTCTTTTCGCCCACTTCGCTTTCTTTACGTTTGTATCATAATTGTTACAAATAACATTCCCTTGGTGTTATTGTTTGCTATAGGTTACATTAATAGTGCGTCTAGACTTCTGATATTGCAACATCATCGCGAGAAACTGTACACTACGCTTTTAAATCTGATATTGCTGCGATTTGGCCGCGTGGACAAAGCTTCTGTAACGTGCTGCCAAAATACGTCTGACAAGCCATTACTAATGTTTACGTACTCCTCTTAGTCTATAGAGTTTTCTGTTGCGTCAAGATGATGTTGCACACACACACACACACACAAAAAAAAAAGAGTAAAATCTGCGCGCCCGGATCGGCAACACTAAGAAAAAGTGTGATTGCGCTTCAGGAGAAAAGCGATGTCGATTTTGCATCATAAATAATGAAAATCGCAAGACATATAATGGATACGTTGGCAAGAGGAATCCAGAAAGGGCATCATACAAAATGCGTTTTTTTTTTCTAGTGAGCGTTGACACCACCCCTTAAAAGCTATTTTCCGCCGCAACTGAATTTTCTCCAGATGGTATAAAACAGCGGGAACATAGGGATACAGGAAGGCAATGTATACGAGTGCTGCGTATGCAAGCTTTGATAAATATAAATATCCCCTTCAGCGGTAGTGGCTACGCTTTTATGCGCAACTTTGTTGCGCAAGTTGCCGCAACTTGGGAACAAAAGCGAGCAAAATACATTTTTCATTAGACCAATTGAACCTTCTGCATGGTCAGCGTGACTCAACTTAACCTCAATGCGCTGCGTATGACCCCATAGTCGATTACTTTGGTGTTGACTCTACGATGGTCAGCCTTCCAGAACGAATGTGAAAAATACTACTTTTTTTTTCCCCGAATACAACCTAAAGTAATTGCGCACACTTTAGGAACCTATAACTTCTTTGTCTTATGTCGAAATGAAACATGACTGACTGCAGAACGATGAAGTGTTTAATTAGATGATGATGGCAATTACTGAAACTCGCATGGAGGACGGAAATGTTGTAGGCCCGTGTGCTCAATTTGGAGGCACGTTCAAGAACCACAAGTGGTGCAAAATTTCCGGAGCCCTTCACTACGGCGTCTTTTATGATCATATGGTGGTTTTGGGACGTTAAACCCACATATCAAGTCAATCCATCACTGATACTCAGACAAGACACATTTACTTCATTTTCTCTTTTTTAATGTTATAATGGGTGCCTTAAAATTGTGTTATGTGAATTTGACACATTCGTAGACACTGCATCATCATAATTCGTGCCTGAAGGAGATGTAGACACGACCTCCTCGCTTCTCCTCTCCCCCACACACACTCATACTGCAAAAAAAAAAAGGAGAAAATACTCGTGAGCCATTTCATTCAGTGAAGGAAGCTGTTGAGCGAAGCTGTTCAGCCCATAGCTGATACGGAGCTGACACATAGCTGATACAGGAGGAAGCGTGGCTGATATGAACCACTGTGCAGGGTTTACGAAGGCAGCGCCCAAATGTGGGGAAGCCCACTTACAAAAACAAAGATTACACCCATGACTTTAAGATACACTAGTGTATTGCTGAAAACACACTCTTTTGAGAGACACTTTAAGTCGTCCTGTATGAAAGTACCAAGTGCCCAGAGATTTATTTAGATATTTAAATTTTTGTTTGCTGTTGTCTTCGGTGTTCACTGGCGCCATTGACATTTCCCTTGCTATTTCCTCGTAGCCACGTCGCTGTTCATTGCATCGTTGTGCCTAACCACAGTGCATGGTAAAAAATACGAGGCATTCATGAATCATATGGTTCAGATATTTAGCGCTCTGCTAGCGGCGTTGTGTAGACTTGTGGCTTTTGGGCGTGGTGCCCAGGATCAAACCGCAATGATGGTAGAAAATATCTTTTTTTTTCAACTCTAGTAGTTAAGGTTTTGCTATCACTTCTAGAAGGTCGCCTATTTAATGCGTCAATGATGTTTTAATCGCATTAGTTCTTCCATTCCCTGCTAGAGGACACTGAGGGTTTGTCCGCACGAAAATAATAAAATCCTCTATCCTATCCATAGACAGTACGCCGCAAAACAGCACGAAATTGTAATACTACATCGTGAAGCCCACGTCTCACAAGTGGACCACAATCAGTGGACAACTCTCTGTACCGAGGGGGATCTTGTCCTGCCACGTGGCAGCCTGTGTTAGTTCCCCAGTTATTCATTTGGTTACTGCTCTGACACAACACTGAACGTTTTCTAATCATGGAATGCAGCCGTAACTGCTGAAACGTGAGGAGACACGCAAGTTGAGAATGCCGTTACTTAACGACGCACCATGTTCTCCTAAACTTTGACGTAAGCATTTCCCCATTTCACCCATGCTTATTGGACGGAAAAGCAAGTCATGCAATCTCACGGCACGCGCGGAACAATTTGCATACCATGCTTGTACTAAAAGCTAAGCATGGCCCGCCGCGGTGGTCTAGTGGCTAAGCTACTCGGCTGCTGACCCGCAGGTCGCGGGCAAGCATCCCGGCTGCGGCGGCTGCATTTTCGATAGAAGCGAAAATGCTGTAGGCCCGTGTGCTCATATGGGAGCATGGTAAAGAACCTCTGGTGGTCGAAATCTCCGGAGCCCTCCACTACGGCGTCTCTCATAATCATATGGTGGTTTTTGGACGTTAAACCCCACATATCAATCAAAAGCTAAGCATGGTTATTTTAAACCATGCTGCCACTAGCACGACTTCTGCCATCAGGGGTGAGCTTAAGAACCATCCCATATAACCGACAGACAAATATGTCGTGAAAGCGTGGTGCGCCTTCGTCAATTACATACACTTCGCAAGGGCATTGCAATACGCAAGATCTATAAAAGCCAGAGAATTGGTGAGGGCTTTATCGCTTTGTTTTTTTGTTATATTTATTTCAAGCGAGAAAAAAGTGCTTTTCACGTTGGTCCTAGAACGCGTCACGTTGAACAATCGTCAAACATGGTAGTGTATTCAGCGAAGTGACCCTCTGCAGCAATACGAAGCCTAATGAAGTTAAATGAACGGTAGTTTTCCACTGATGATGGCTGCGCAAATGTGCACACTAAGTTGCAAGGCATTTGATGAAACACGTGGTGCGTGACGTGCCATTGAAGTTGGCGTGTACGTTTGTACACACCGTGACTGAATGGGGTATACAGCATAACGAAATCATATAAACGTATCGTCTTTCCTGCCGCGTAATCACAGGCCTTTCTCCTCTGAAAGTTGTAATGACGTACGTATATATGGCGCGAATTATAATAGAGAGTCTACTGGAACGTGAACAGTCAGACGTTTACCCTGCCACACTTGACCGACATACTGGCTGATCGGTTGACTGTTGTAAGACATGAAGCTGTAAATAAAAATGAGCAAGACTAAGTTACTGATCCGCTTAAGTAGGCACACCAAGAATACACGCTGCCACCTCAGACGCACACGTAGGCGTTATTAGGCGGCCGTGGCCTTCTAAATCTTACAGGCTTCAAACCACAACTCAACGCAGTATGAATTATCGACTACCCAGGACAACAGCACTCACAGAATTGGTCTTCGACTGAAGATGCACGCTCGTACGTTGTCACACAGATCTGCTGTAAAAGTGCTGACGTATATGCAGATCTTTTTCTCCGTTCTTACACATGGGCACGAGAGGCTGCATGAGCGAGCACTTCTTCTTTCTCGTTGACTATGTCTCCGTTCAGCGCGCAAAACTGTGGATGGTAATATTGCCGAATTGGCATGTAATTTTGTTTTCTTTGTGCGTGTTTTAATCAAGGAATGAGTGAGCGAACAACTTTACTGGAGCCCATGAATTAAGACATGCTCGTTATCTCAGATCAGGTCAGCTCAGCTCAGTACTTTTTTTTTAAGGGGCGAAGCTCCTCTTAGTTTAACTTGTCATGCGTCACGCGTAAACTATAGAAGAAGAAAATTATAAAAAAAAGGAAGGCAGTATGTTCCGAACAGTATA